ATTGAGATTTGGACAAACAAGATTTGATTGGGATGATGAAAAACATATGGTAGCATCATCAAAAACAAATGACATTAATTTAGCAATATAACTCAAACATCTTTTTTACAATGACTTTATATTATTTACAACTTGGTTTTGAATATAATCTATATCCCTTGTCTAGATTATTAGGTTAATCCCATGGTAAGAGATTCCACACCATGAGTTGTCCAACATACAATCGTCTATATTTAGGGGGACCTCCTACTAATCAATTTACTACCTCATTGGCACATAGGGTATAATCTCCCTAGATCTCAAGCAAATGACACTAAAATTGATCAATCTAATGAAAATGTCCAACATCCTCAAATTAATGAACGTGATAATGCTACCATTGATATTATTGAAATCTCTATTTCAAATACTATGTAGGAAAGTTTTAAAAAAAAATATTTGACATTGGTGAAAAGATGGCAGAATCTATTAAAGTTGAATAACTTAATGAAGGTAATGAATGGATTTTTATTTCATACTTGGACACATTGGATTTTATTTCTTATTGATTGTTGTTTTAGATACAACTTGGATAATGAATTTTATTACTTTAGAAAGAAGTTGATAAGTGGATTTTAATGAGATCGTGGATTGCTTTATATATTTGATTGCTTTAAAGATAATTTGATTATTGAATTTTTTCACATTGTGCATAACATTATTTCTTATTGATTATTAAACATTGGCATGTGTTCAAATAAGAATGGATTATATTATAATTTGGGAACAATTATTGCATATAGTTGTAGTAGTTGTATATGAAGAGGAAAAATTAGAGCATCTTAAGATGAAACTATTGTGTATAATAGTGTAAGAGTACAACAATATTATTCCTAAAACATCTTATCATGATGATACCCTAATTAGATCAAACCATTTGTATAATGTCATTTTGAACAATTTCAAAGGTGTCTAAACATATTTAAGATGCTTACACCTATTCATCAATTTTGGTAGGTTTTTTAAAAGAAAGGGTTTAGTAAAAAATAATTGATATGTCTCTACTAATGACAAAGGAATGGCATTGAAGACAATTGGTCAAAATAAGTCACTTCAAGATACAACTTATTATTTTCAGCATTCGGGGAAACAACATTTTAACACTTTAATTTTATATTAAAGGCTTTATATGAATATGGAAAAGAGATTATGCGATTAAAAAAACCTTAATATTGTTTTGCTTTAGATTCTAAACAACTTTAAATATTATCTATAGTTAATTAGAAGTAACAATCTACACTCTCCTCATTTAATAATAATTTACTTTTTATTTATATATATATATATATATATATATATATATATATATATATATCCTTGTAGAATTATGTTGTATACATTTCATGCATGTGTGCTAACTATTAATCAAGTTTCATTTTAAGTAAGAAAAGCAATGACAACTCAAAATGTGATGTATACATGTAGAGTTGTCAATGGGTTGAGTCTACTTAAAAAAATTGAACCAACTGAACCAATTATGTTGGTTCTGGTTTAGAGTTCTATCCCATTTTGTTGGTTTCAATTCTTTATTGTATGTCCTAATTATTATTGGTCTGTGACTAATTATGGTTTTTCCAAATTTACTTAGACCCAAAACCAATTAAATATTTATTAATAAGACAAGTACCTATTATTGTCTTCATACTTTCATGGCATTCTTGATATTTACAATTATAGTAATGTTTATAATTGTAAATATGGCGGTCAATATAAAAGACAAGAATGAGAAGATGTAAAACAAACCCTAATCGACCATGTTTTATCTTCCCATTCCCATTTCGTTGTTCATTGACATTGTCGTTAAAGAGGAGGAAGGATTCTAGACATTAGACAAGATAGAACTCTTTCTTCAATCTTTTCCAAGTTCGACTAAAAGAATAATTGTGTTTGAGTGTTTTCCACCATCATTTGATGTTCAATCAGTTGATTGTTTGAAGAAGAAGAAGAATCATGACTCTGGAGTGCTTGTTCTTCAAGCCTTCAACCCAAGTAAACAATTTGAACACTAGTGACCAAGTTCTATAGTTGGTTGGTTGAATATGATGATTGAACTTGCTAACTTCTACAAAGACGATTCAAACAAAGAGGAGACTAAGCCCTAAGTTGTAGTTGCCTTTCTCGTTGGCTGCAGAGACAAATAGACTTGTTCATATGGATTTTCTTCCTTTGATTAAAAAAGACAAACAATTGAATAGACACTTATTCATTGGTGATGCCAGCCTTGCCAAGTAATTAAGGTCTAAAAATGAACCATTTTGTAATAGTAAAACAAACATATTATGTGAAATTGATTAAAACAAACATATTAGTAGCGAGTAATTGGTTGTTTTTTTTTCTTTTTTATTGTTGTTTTGTGCTTTATTTTTTGTTTAATCGTCTATAGAGTGTAGTTACTAAATTGTCTATTGTGTTTTCTTTGCTTTATTACTTGGCATTTCGTCTCTGTTATCTAGGCATTCAATAAAATGTTTTTTTTTGTTTATAAAAAACTATGAATTTTAGCAATTTTTAATTTAATTAGTTCTTATCAGGCCAGGCCTTATTGTCTCGATAACCAGCGGGGCCAGTACCGGTTCTAATTTTATAGAACTATTAGAGTCTGGTTCGATTCTGGGTCTATTAATTTTAGCAATCGATTTAGAATGGTTCTACCCTGTCTTGAACTAAATCCGAACCATTAACAACCCTATGTGCATGCTCATTTTGTATGTTCTTTACATTTGTCGTGGCAAGATAAGATAGAGTTACTCATTACTTGAGATTATTCTTAAAAACAATTCAAGACTTTATAAACTTGTTCCCCTTACCCCTATAGGTTTATTAAGTTGCAACTATTTAGTGATATAATTGTAATTTGAAATTTGTAACATTAATTTCTTTTTTGTTCAATATAAGAAAATCCTATGTGATTAATTAAGGATATGCAAATATGCCTAGGTTTTGTCCCTTTAAAGTATTAAGAAATACCATTTAAAAGACTCCATGGGAATAGGCAGCCATCCTAAAACTATCGAAGAACAATTCAATTATCTACATTCTTCATTAAGAAATGTTATAGAACATTACTTGGCATCCTAAAAGCAAGATTTTTAATCTTAAAGTTGATACCACCATATCCAATGCATACGCAAATACAAATTGTTTTTTGCATATTGTGTATTGTACAACTTCATTAAGTTGCCACATACACAAGATACATATTTGAATAATTTCTTGGTACTAGAAGCACTAATTGAAGGTGGGGGAGGAATGTTCCATAATGTTTCTCAAATAATACTTAATGTTGGTTCGTAAGCATGTAGACAAATGGAACTAGTGTAAGATGAAATCATGTTCCGGATGATAGAGTATTAAACTTGAGAGTCATTTGCCCTCGACCAAGGAAAATTAAAATAATATGGGCAAAACAATTAGTGTTTTTTCCTTAATGTGTTGCATTTTTATTTGATGACATGTATTGGATTGTTTGTGTTAAATTATTTGTCATAAAGAAATGTTCATGTTAAACTAATTTCATGTATTAAAATAGTTACTTGTTATTTGTTGGAAATAGTTACATTGATTTTTTGTATTACTAAATACGTGAATAGGGCCTATAAGTGATAACATGATATGTTAATGTGTAGATAGAGATTATACAATAATATCTTATGTAGGAAAATGCATGAGTAAGACCTACTTTAATATTTTGTGTAAGTGGGACACACAATTATTATTTACATGTTTGAACGTATTATTGGGTCCAACACTTGACATTTCATATGTATGCAAGAGAGACCCGCAAATATGAATACCAAATGGTCTTTCATTTTTTTAGCTTTTGCCAAAATGCCTCCTAAAATATTATTAATAGAAATTAATGGTTATAATTTATTTAATTAAATAACAGAAAAACTAAAAAAGATATAAGAGAGTAAGTGCATGGTTATCAAACCTTCTTTCACATTATGGTCAAACTAAAATTGATGTTGGGAGAAGATTTTTTTTGTCAACAAATATGTATTGCTCATTAATATTTTCTTTGTAAAATTTGGAACCCATAATTTGAGATTAAGTTACACTTATTTATACTTATTTATCTTTTATAAATTCTTTTCTCCACACTAGTGGCAATAAATACAAGCCGATAGAATCAAATTTGGATAGGGGCTATATCCGACTTTGAATTGATAAAAAAATATAAAATATATACCCAAATTCAAATCAAAGCCAACGGATCTATAAATTACTATATTTAAATTTGGTTTGATTAAATAGTCAGATATCCTATTAGAACCCAATTCAATTTGATCAATATCAAATCTAATATTTTTTTTTCCATACAGATTAAAAAATAGACAAAAGTTATTAGTTTTCACATATCATATCATATGCCATATCTTATTAGAACCCCATGAAAAAATACTGAGGTTGCTCATTTTGTAGTACAGCAGCTAAATTGTTCTAGCATGAGGAGTGGATGATTAGTCCCAAATGCTTGAATGAGACTTCAGGCAATTGATGTACATTGCGTTATGAATTAATTTCATAGTTTATAGGGCAATCCACTTATCCCTAGTTTTTATATGCCCATCTTTTTCACAATGGTGGTGTTAGTTAGTTACATCTGCAGGAAGGAATTGAAATCCGATCCGACATCAGCAGCCAGCAGGGGCTCCGAAAGGCTCATGGAGCCGATTTGGCAAAATCACGAGTCACCATTCACCACCGACCCGGGTTCCTCTCTCAGTAGACTGCTTCTCAGCTCTTTACGCCGTTGGGCTCCGTTGAATGATTGAATCCGTCGTGAGTGAGATTACTGATTATACATGGGGTGAGGGTGATGGTGAGGGCCGTTTCGTAGATTCGAGTAAAAGCAGGGTGTTAAAAGAAGGACCGACGCTTTGAGTAAAAGAAAGCACGGGAAAAGAAATACATCGCTTCGTACAGACAGAGGCAGTCCGAGGCACAACTGGTTCGTAGGGCTTCTGAGCCTGAGACCGAGCCTGCATCCCATCGGTTCGTCGTATCTTTTTCCCTTTCTTTTTTTTTAGCTCATCTTTTTTCTTTCTCAGTCCCTGCTGCTTACACGCTCGGGAGAAGAGAGCTAAGGAAAGTACTGTGCATACAGCATGCATTATCTGAAAGAAAATCTGAGGGAGGGGAACATAGGAGCGAAGATCGCGGACTTAACGAGGCCAGAGTCCCGAGTACTCCTCGGCTGCGCACTTTCTTATCCTACGCACTCTCTCTATTCCTCCTGCTCCTCCTCACTTTACTAGCCTTTTACACTACCCTCCCTCTCTTTGTCCGAATCCAACGCGCCTCTCATTCTTACATCTCTCTCTCTCTCTCTCTCTAGTTAAACTTATTTCTCTCATGTTTACACTTACAGTTCTGTGCTCTCTCTCTCTAAGCACATTCTTTCCCGGATTTAAAGTTTCAGAGCTCTGTCCTTCAACACCCTTCTTAACTCTTCGTATCTTTCTTTTTCTCTTTCTGGCTCTATATCTCATTCTTTCTCTTTCATTTCAATCTACTGGCGCTTCCCCTTACCTGACTTGGAGAGTCTGAATTCCAGTGATCTTTCTCTGCTTTTCACTAGAAAATCCAGAAGCTGCTGCTTTATTAGGGTTTCTATTAACTTGGGTTCTTCAATTGGAAAAATTGAGAAAGGAAACTTTGAAGCATGGCTGGCAATGGCAATGGCAATGGCAATGGTGGAGCTTCGCTAAGTGCTGCTGCAACTGCGATCGGCTCGGCAGAGACTCGGTTTCAGCGGGAAGAACGGGTATGTTGAGTCTTCTGCGTCGGATCTAAAATATTGCCACGGAGGTTTCGATGTATTCGTTGGATTCGTATGTGGGTTTGGGAATTCAGAGCTTAGTATATGTAGTTTAACCCAAAATAGTTGGGAAGGCTGAGTTGAGTTGAGCCACGTTCTCATCTCCGCGTGCAATGTTCAGATTTTAGGGTTTTCCGAAAGTTATGCTACTTGATTAATTTCTTGCATCTCTACTTCTGCTATTTCTACTGTTTTACCACTGCATCCCGTTCGTGTTTTGGCAGGTAAAGTATGCTATTTCGATTTACCATGAGAGATTGTTAAGACACCTCTTGAAGTTTATAGTACCGTTAGTACGATATTTTTTACTCGATGTCTTAATCGTAAGATTGCAATCTGAATTTTGGACTGGATATTTTTGGGTGGGCCTTGGCGCAACGGTTGGGTTGCTCCGTTGCGACCTGGGTGACCAAGGTTCAAATGTTGGAGCAGCCTCTCTGTATGTACAGGGGTAAGGCTGCGCTGGGCTGCATTGGCGGGAGCCTCGTGCACTGGGCTGCATTGGCGGGAGCCTCGTGCACTGGGCTGCCCTTTTATATTTCGGGCTTTGAATAGGGAACGAATTCTAGTAATTCCTCTCCGTTGAGTGGTTGGGGATGATTTTGGAGAAAGAGGGTTTGGAGGATTTCTCATATTGAGGTCCACTTGCTTGAGAAACAAATCAGATATCTAACCTTTAGTAGAACAATTATGGTAAGTGAAGGTTGTTTTATTTGGAGAGGATGCACTTCATTTTTGGGTGTACAACGTTTAAGTTAAGCTTGCTCCTTGTTCTATTACCACTGTTCTCAAAGATGATTATTGGTTCGAGGATGTATCTTAGGAGCTCAATAAACTGGCCCTGTAACTTTGAGAGAAGAGACTTCCTAATCTAGCAGACAGTTAAATGTCTAATATAAGTGTCTCGTGCTAAAAATTGTGAAGAGATTAGTAAGATAAGCACTCTGGTGTTAATGCATGTTTGTGTATGGTGCTCAGTTTGATTTCCTTTCAATTTTCTTGGTGAAGGACGAAGCAATTGTTTTCCATCCAATTTTCCTTTCAACTTTCCCCTATCCAAATAAGTTGGCTCCCCCCTCTCTCTTACCATAATTCAATGGTGAGAAGTGAGCAGCAAAAAGAAGAGTATAACTGGTGTAGTTGAACTGCAATCTAGTCCCAGAACCACCTAAATAAAAAACAGACCAATGAATTACCTAATCTTGGATTTGAACAAAATGGGATGTTCATCCCACTAACCCAGAAGTCAAGGCATGGTATTCTCTAATATAATGAGACAAATTTCCAAGGACCCTGTATCAGGACCAAAATTAGCCTGTGGTAATGGTAGAATCTCCTATGAACCCCTGAGGAAATGGAGTTTCATGCCTTACTACATTGTGGAAGATGTGTTGCAAGGCCTAAAACAGCTAATATTTGAATTCACATTACCAACTAATACGACCTCAACCTTGGATGACAATGCTATCTAGAGGTCGTTTGGATTCAGCTCCTCCCCCCTCCAAAAAAAAAAAAAAGAAAGTAAAAAGCAAAGAAAAGAAGAAAAGGAATGTAAATACTATAAAATGGTGAAGAAAATGAGGGCAGGCCTTGGAGACTTAGTTACTTTGTGGCTGAGGCCCAGACGTTTTTGGGCTCATGAATGTAAACTCGCTCTGCATTCCGAGGGATCTAAGGGTTTATGTGTAAATTTACCCTATTAGTATAGGGTATAGTGAATTAGGTTGCAAACCTAAGAGACTCGTATAACCTTTTTTTGGTGTCTTCTCTTTTCCTCTTCCTTTTCTCTTCTTTATCTTCTTTATTCCCTATTCTTATTTGCTTCTCAGATTGAACCTCTAAAGTTACAACTTGGTATTAGAGATTAGGGCTCTGATCACAAGAACTGCCAGCTTTTGGCATCACCGTTGGTGTTGGCTAACGTCAGCAGGTTGTATGGTTGGCCGATGCCTGAATTGGAGATGGTTATACCTCCCTGACGGTGCATGAATTTAGAAGAATTTCTATGTAGGTTTCAGATTGATGTGAGGATTTGGATGTTTTTGTTTAGAAATAAACAAAAAGAAAGGGGTAGAAGAAGAAGATTGTTTTAGAAAAAGGAAGGTAAAGACTTAAAAAATAAAAAGGAGAATGGGTGGAACCCCTATTTTTTGTCCCAGAAAAAGAAGAAAAAAACACTAATTAGGGCTACCTTAGCCAATTTACCCATTTACTTCCTGTCAATGTTCAAAATTCCAGCAAAGGTGTCTAATAGATTGGAAAAGATATTGAGAGACTTTCTATGGGAGCTAGGAGAGGAGAAGAGGGACCATAGGATGAGTTGGGAGGTGGTGACTAGGAGTAAAAACTTAGGTGGGTTGGGGCTTGGGAATATCAATAAAAGGAATGTGGCTCTTTTGGGGAAATGGTTATGGAGGCTCTTTTTGGAGAAGGAGAAACTGTGGGCTAAAATAGTGGCTAGCATTCATAGGCTGGAGGACAATGGATGGGATCCTAGAATTCGAGCAAGGACTACAAGTGCATCACCTTGGAAAGCCATCCATGACTTGTTACCAGTTTTCTCCCCTCCGATCAGGTATGACTTAAACTCATGCAACCTTATAAAATTTTGGAAACAAACCTAGGTGGGGAATGCCCCTCTGAAGGATTAGTTTCCATCCTTATATGCCCTCTTTGACTTGAAAAATGAATCAATTTCTTCCTTCATTATCCCATCTTCTTCAAACTCTGGGCTTGGGTGGAATTTGGGCTTGAGGAGGGCTATTAGAGATATAGACCTAAACAACATCATGATTCTCCTAGAATATCTTCTTGGTCCCCACAAAGGAAGACACTAGAATTTGGACCCCCACCCCCACGAGCTCTTTCTCTTGTGCCTCTTTCTTCAAAGTCTTAACTCAGCCAACCAGCTCCATAGGCCTTCTTTTCCCTGTCAAAGAGATTTGGTACAAACCAAACCAATTCCTCCTACGGTTGGTAGTTTTTGTTGGGAAATGTTTTTGGAAAGAATCAACACTAGTGGTCTGATTTAAAAGAAGAGACCCAAGACATGTTTATCCCATCACAGGTGTATTCTTTGTAAAGCTAATGGGGAGACTGGTTTTCACCTATTGGTGTCATGCCAGTTTGCAAAGACTATTTGGGAGTGGGTTTATTCCCTCTTTGGGTGTAGTTGGACCCCCCCCCCCTGAACATGCAAAGCCTTTTTTCTTCTTTTTTTTTTCCAGGTGGCATCTGAAAAGGGGCAGGACCATGTGGAGATGCCTAAGGGCTGCGGTATGCTGTTCACAGATTATACAGTGGATGATCTATTAAGGAAATGGGGAGAGATTGCTAGATGCACCCAGGTCAAAACAGGACTGAGTTTGTGTTGGACCCCTCCCCCCTCTAGCTTTATAAAACTGAACTTTGATGGTAGTAGTAGAGGGAACCCTAGGCATTCAGGGGCTGGGGTGCCTTTAGGGATGAGAATGGGAATGTTTCAGCCCTGTTCTCAGGTCCAATTGGGGTGGGTGATTCTCTCAGAGCCAAGATCTATGTAGTTGTGGAAGGTCTCCAAAGAGCAAAGGAAATGAATATAAGAAGACTTGTAAATGAAGGGGATTCGGAGGTGGTTGTAGGGTGGCTGAATGAAGACAATACTGGGTTGTCGAATTACAGCAATGAAAGGAGAAAGTTTAGGTAGCTAGTTAAAGACATGGAAATAAAGATCGGCTGGGTGAAGAGATATTCTAACTTGTTTGCTGATGGGTTAGCTAAGCAAGGGGTGGTGAGGGGATCTATGTTCTGGGCTCAGTTGTAACTCTAATTTCTATTCATGGGGGCTCAAGCCTCAGTTGGGGGAGATAAGAAAGTTTATCTCCTTCCTTGTAATTAATATTTCTGATTGATTAATGAAATGGGTTATTGATAAAAAAAAAAGGAAAACATACCTTTGGTTGTTCATGTGTTAATTGAATAAAGTCTTCAAGTTCTTTCTTGTAGGTCCAGGTTTTGATGTCTTTCAAGGGTTGAAGACAATGTGCACCAAGGGTAAGGTCACATTTTGATATGACATGATCTTACCATCATGGTTGCTTCTTAGAATTCTTGGTATCTATGTAAGAACTGTCATTTCTTACTGATAGGCATTAGAAAAAGAATGAAGGTGGGCCTTGGTGCAATGATTGGGTTGCTCCATTGCAACCTGGGTGACTAGGGTTCAAATCTTGGAAACAGCCTCTCTGTGCATATACAGGGGTAAGGCTGTGTACATCTATCCCTCTCCAGTCCCTGCTTGGCAAGAGCCTTATGCACTAGTTTCCCTTTTTTATGGATAATTTGGTACTTCAGATCAAATGGCTGATTGGAAAAGGAGAGATTAACTTTTGAATGGATAAATGGCTGGAGATTGTTCCATTGATTGGCTTTGCCATAGGTATTAATGGTGAAAAAAAAGGGATAGCCTCAGATTGGATGGGAGAAGGAATATGGATAGTTCCAAACGAATCTAGATGAAAACATCTATTAAGTCATTTTGAGATCTCAAGTGAATTTATTGGAACATAATGATAAGTTGATTTGGATGCAAACTATGATGGGTCCTTTTCTGTAAAAGCAACCAGGAGTGATATGAGAACTAGAAGAAATTGGACTGTTGAACTGGATTTGGAATATGCCTATTCCCAACTAAGATTTCTTTCTTTAGCTCAAAATGTAGTAGACTCTGAATTCTGATGGATAGAAATGTGCATGACCTAGAAATCCAAATGGCATCCATATGCATTTGTTGCAAAGAAACCTTGAACCACCTTATGATTCATGGTGTACTAGCTCGCAAGGTCTGAAATCATTTTGGTAAGTCTTTTGAATAGCCTACTAATATGTTTGATTCCTTGTTGCAGTGTTTGAACTTTGAATGCATGGTAAAGTAGGGTTAATGCCTCTAGAAGCCAATGGGGATAAAA